GGATGCCTTCAGATGTCTTCTAAAAGTCAGATAGTTGTTTATTTCCTTGACATCTGATGGTAGGGCATTCCACAGGGTGGGCGCCACTACCAAAAAGGCCCTCTGCCTGGTTCCCTGTAACCTCACTTCTCACAGGGAGGGAACTGCCAGAAGGCCGTCTAGTGGGCACAAATGAAATAAGGCATTTATTCAAGTGGAGAATATTTATCTAGAAAATGTTGTCTCCCTGTCCGACAATCTAAAAATACATTTATCTACTAAATTCTGCTATTGTATACCTCTTTAAAATCCTACATGGTTCCCTGAGATTCACTGTGTAGTATGTCCTAAAACTCAATGAAACGTTGAGTTCGCTTTCTGGTTTCATTGTCAATCTAAATATTATTCACAAACATATCCCCCTGCTATAGTCCTTTCTTTTATTGCTGCTCGTTCATTCAAATCTTATTCAAGAATAGTGTTCTTCCCTTCCTTTGCCTAGTAAATATCTTTTTATCTACCGTATCTCCTCCATCTATCATATGCATTTCTTTGTGCATAAAACCTTAGGAAATGAAAGACAAATGTTAGGAAATATTTAAACAATGGACAATATTCCTATGAAAGTTTAATGTTCCCAAGCCTACAGTTCCTAATACCTAACAGTACGAGTTCTGTTGCAATATTTGCCCTAATGGAAAACGATAAGTGGCAGTCCTCCAATGCAAACCACCAAGAATTGAGCAATAAAACAGTAAAATAAAAAATAAAAATAAATGCTAGCTTGGCATTTAAAGAAAGAGGAGATGAAGCGAGAACTGCTGTCTGGGATAATAAAGAATTAACCACAAACCCCTTTTCTATTAAGCACAAAAACCCCTTATATTAAAATGACACACATCCCCAAATGCTCAAAGAGTTGTGTGCATTGCGATAGCTCTTCCACTTCCGTGAGACTCTCAAACCCGTGGAGCTCAAATATACATTGAACAGATTCTAACTCCCCACTCCCTGCCGACAGATAAAAATATATCTCTAATGCGAAGTCTATCTATGGAAGGCCAGTAGCTCAGTGCCAGAAGATCCTAGGTTCATTCCCCTGGCATCTTCAGGTAGGACTGAGTAAAACACATCCTGAAATCTCAGATAGTCACTGCCAGTCAGTCTCGTGAGCTAGAAACTGGTGGGAAAACAGGTGAACTAATGCCAGTTCACTGGAACAAGCAAAGATTACCAAAGTTGAAGCAATGATTCTTCAATATCAACTTCGTTGGACTGGTCATGTTGTTCAGATGCCTGATTATCGTCTTCCAAAGCAACTACTCTATTCCAGACTTAAAAATGGAAAGCGTAATGCTGGTGGGTGGACAAAAGAGGTTCAAAGACTCTCTCAAGGCAAATCTTTAAAAATGTAGTATAAACACCGACAACTGGGAAACACTGGCCTGCAAGCGCTCCAGTTGGAGAACAGCCTTTACCAAAGGTGTCATGGGCTTTGAAGACACTCGAACTCAGGACACAAGGGAGAAACGTGCTAGAGGAAGACACACTTGCCAAATCCACACTATGATCAACTCCCACCCCGGACACCTATGTCCCCACTGTGGAAGGATGTGTGGGTCCAGAATTGGCATCCACAGTCACTTACGGACTCACTGTTAAGACCGTGTTCATGGAAGACAATCTTACTCAGCTATGAGTGATTGCCAAAGAAGAAGAAGACTAAGAAGACTGATGTAGATGGACAAATAAGTATATTGTCTGTGTTTGTTTGGCACTGGCACTTGGGTTGTGGGTTGTGATGTTGATGAGGGAGTGGTTTATGTCTGAGTGGTTGATAGGGGTGTATGGGGTGTTAGGGGAGGGGTAGTAACTCTGGTGTGGGGCACATTGTGACTTTTCTGGGGTAGTTTGTCCACCTTTGGTCCCCACCCTGCATTCAGCTCTCATCTGTGACTCCTGGAAGCTGTCAGCCTGAAACAGAGACTAGGTAAAGGGACCCTTGACCATTAGGTCCAGTCGTGGCCGATTCTGGGGTTGCGGCACTCATCTCGCTTTATTGGCTGAGGGAGCCGGCATACAGCTTCCGGGTCATGTGGCCAGCATGACTAAGCCACTTCTGGCAAACCAGAGCAGCGCACGGAAACGCCGTTTACCTTCCCACTGGAGCAGTACCTATTTATCTACTTGCACTTTTGACGTGCTTTCAAACTGCTAGGTGGGCAGGAGCAGGGACTGAGCAACGGGAGCTCACGCCGTCGCAGGGATTCGAACCGCTGACCTTCTGATCGGCAAGACCTAGGCTCTGTAGTTTAGACCACAGCACCACCCGCGTCCCTGAAACAGAGACTACACCTTTTCCTGGGGTGAAACAGAGACTACACCCCAGGAAAAGCTTTGACTGGCCGGCTAAACCAGGTGAGGGTAGCCAATGGGTCTCAAACCCTTGGTGAGTTAGGGATTTCCAATTTATGTAAAAACAAGCTCTGGCAGATTGAGCGGACAAGGCCAATAGTAGGTCCAACAGTCAAGAAGGCAGTTTCTGCATGTGCTGTAAAGGGAAGTGAGGGGCAGATGGAGCTCGTCAACCTGGGAAGGTAGCCCATCTAGGAGAAGGGAAACTCTGGTCCTAAACCTCCGCTGCCTTGTGGGATATCTTTGGGAGAAGAAAAGGCCAAGGAGTCAATTCTACACAAATCCAGAGTGGAGACCCTAAAATGGTTGGATGGCACCTGGTACTCCTGCAGCCAAGCTGGTGCCAGACATATTGTTCTGCCTTCCTTTGGACCACATCAGCGAGGCTGAGAAGGGGGTCCTTGTCATCTGGGCAATCCTGGACCTTCATAGACACTGAACGTTTTTGGTGGTTGTGTGCAATGAATGATGAGTGAGATTGGGTGAGTGACTGCTTGTCTGTTGTGTTGTGTGGACTGACATTTCGTATTTCGCTGCCTTGTGCTTCTCTCTGATTTTATCTTCGTATTGTGTTTATGCATATCAATATTGTTTATATATTCTACAGTGGTGCCTCGCAAGACGAAATTAATCCGTTCCGCGAGTCTCTTCGTCTTGCGGTTTTTTCGTCTTGCCAAGCACGGCTATTAGCGGCTTAGCGGCTATTAGCGGCTTAGCGGCTTAGCAGCTTTAAGAAAAAGGAAACAAACTCGCAAGAACTCGCAAGACGTTTCGTCTTGCGAAGCAAGCCCATAGGGAAATTCGTCTTGCGGAACGACTCAAAAAACGCAAAACCCTTTCGTCTAGCGAGTTTTTCGTCTTGCGAGGCATTCGTCTTGCGGGGCACCACTGTACATTCAGGTAGGTAGCTGTGTTGGTCTGACGCAGATGAAATAAATTTAAAAATTGTCCAGTAGCACCTTAGAAACCAACTAAGTTAGTTCTGGGTATAAGATTTTGTGTGCATGCACACTTATTCAGATACCAGATACTTGTTCAGATACTTGTTATCTGAAGAAGTGTGCGTGCACACCAAAGCTTATGCCCAGAACTAATTTAGTTGGTCTCTAAGATGCTACTGGACAATTTTTTTATTTCATTATACATTCTACAGCATTGCTAAATGTGCTAGATGGACACATTTAAAAATGTTGCTGATAGGTTTGGAATTGCCCAAGAAAGATGTTAGATTGTTTTTGTATACCACAACTGCAGCAAGAATTTTGTTAGCCCAAAACTAGAAATTACAAGAAATACCAAGAGTGGAGGAATGGCAGATGAAGATGATGGACTTTTTGGAGCTGGCCGACCTGACTGGAAGAATCCGCGAACAGAAAGAGGAGGAATATCAAGAAGAATGGAAGAAATTTAAGGACTATTTAGTTAAATATTCTAAGATAACATAAGTAGAACTACTTGTAAGTACCAAATTGGCCTAGGAGTTAAATATGTTAAATTGTATAACATTATGGATAGAAGATAATATGAAAAGAAAGAAAGATGCTAATGGATTAAGTTAATCTTATTTGAAAGTAGTATTGGAAAACTGCTACAGTGAGTTATATGGAAACTCAGCTAGGGGGATTCAAGAAAGTCATTTAACAACGATAACAAAATTGGGATTTTAACAGTTAGGATAATGTTTGTTTGTTTGTTTGTTTATATTGTAATGTTTTTCTTTTTGTTTGTTATAAATTTGGAAAATTATTTTTTTTTCCACAAGTAAATTTTTATTGTTTTCCTTACATATTCTTTTCCAACAAATTGTATTAACACCATACATTCCCTTTGACTCTGCCGAGTCACGACCTCCCTCCCTCCCCACAACCGGTATATTTAACCCCTTTCCATCGCGCACATCATTCTCATATTAGTACTATTATACATTGGAGGTATTATGTCAATCCTGCTAGTGTTTTGACCTCTTTACAATTCTTCTTTAAATATTCAATAAATTTACTCCAGTTAGTTTGGTATCTTTGATCTTCCTGGTCCCGGATCCTCCCTGACAGTTTGGCAAGCCCTGCATATTCTGTCAACTTCACCTGCCACTCCTGGATAGTTGGTATATCTTGTACTTTCCATCTTTGGGCCAGAAGGGTTCTTGTGGCAGCTGTAGCATACATGAACAAATTTTGATCTCCCATTTTAATTACTGCTCGTATTAAACCTAATAGACACGCTTCCGGTCTTTTGGGGAAAGTATATCTAAATATTTTTTTGAGTTCGTTATAAATTGATTCCCAAAAAATTTTTACCTTATCACAGGTCCACCACATATGGAAATAGTCCCCATCTGCCTTTTTACATTTCCAACACTTTTTTTCCTTTTTTCCTATATTTGGAAATTTGGAAAATTTCCTATTTTTCCTAAATTTGGAAAATTAATTGAAAAAATTGAAAAAATAAAAAATAACAATGTTGATGACTTCTACTCTACAATTTTACACCTCTCTGGTTCAGGTGAAATCAGTGCACATTTAAATAATTCCATTCTTGGAGATGTAGAAAAACTGACCCTTATTCTATCATCCGATGGCACACAGGTAAATATTATTAGACTGACATATATAGCTCAGTTGGCAGAGCATGAGACTTAATTTCAGGGTTGTGGGTACGAGCCCCACATTGGGCAAAAGATTCTTGCATTTCAGGGGATTGGATGAGTTGTCCCTCATTGTTCCTCCCTTCCAATTGTGATTCTATGATTCTAGTCAGTTATATACGGTCATAAAATAAAAGCTTTGCTTCTTACATTTCATAAGCAGAGCAATGAGAAGAGATTTTAACCACTTTGATGCATTTTGCTTCAGCAGTGAGTCTTCAGGAGTTAGTAAATCCCTCAACACCAATCAATGCGATGAAACAGAAAAGTGTCCCATGTCGTCAAAACTGTACAAAATATTTTATTTTAAATACATCGTGTGGTAACACGCTAGCCATCATGTCAAGAAGAACGGGAAAGAATGAAAACAACGAGCTTTCCCAGACATTGTGTCAATTATAAATCTTGATGAGCAACAGTAGGAGCAGCAAGATTTGCCTGGCATGAGTAGGTTTTTTTGTGGGTTTTAGTCATTGTTTTTACTTTGCAGAACTGACAACAAATCAACAGGAACCGACAAAATAAAAACTCCTTCACTGAAAGACAATATTGCTACTTGCTATGGGTTGGTATCCAACAGTGGTTTTGTGCTGGTGGAAGCACTTCTACAAGCTCATGGCAAAGTATCATATTTTCTCCTGCTCAATTGCAGCTTTCTGTGCCATATCCCAGACTTCTCTGTATCCCCTTTCCAACCCCACCCTTTCTCTCCCAAACATTTCTCTCTGAGATTTTGCCTGACTTGAATATATCTATGAACTCTGATAATGATTATTTTATACATACCCTCCAACATTTCTCCAATGAAAATAGGGACTATTCCATCATCATCATACACACATATCCTCCAACATTTCTCCAATGAAAATTGTTGTTGTTGTTGTTGTTTAGTCGTTTAGTCGTGTCCAACTCTTTGTGACCCCATGAACCAGAGCACGCCAGGCACTTCTGTCTTCCACTGCCTCCCGCAGTTTGGTCAAACTCATGTTCGTAGCTTTGAGAACACTGTCCCACCATCTCGTCCTCTGTCATCCCCTTCTCCTTGTGCCCTCCATTTTCCCCAACATCAGGATCTTTTCCAGGGAGTCTTCTCTTCTCATGAGGCGGCCAAAGTATTGGAGTCTCAGCTACAAGATCTGTCCTTCCAGTGAGCATTCAGGGTTTGGATAGATTCTGCCTGCCCATTCTCACCTTGCCAGATTATGGGCTCAGGATTGATAACTGGAGAGTTTGTCACACCTTTTGTGACAATTAGATTCCCCCCCCCCAAAAAAAAGGACCTGCTTAGTTATAGATTGGGGAGTTTGAGGAGAGAAAAAATGTTCTAGTCCTTTCTTGTATTTTTAAAATGAATTGAATTTAAAGTTGTTTTTAGGGGTTTATTTTTTAAAAAAATTATGCAAGATCCACTGAAAAGAAAAGGCACTTTAGCATTAGAGTGATTCTTTAGTGTGTGTGTGTGTGTGTGTGTGTGTGTGTGTATGTATATCGCTGAGATGGAGAGGCAAGTCCTTCACAAGTACTTCATAAAATACTAAACAGGAGTTCAGTAGGAAAGCTCTTGTCGCATCTCAGTTAGGGTGGTTAGTGCCGGTCTTTGAGCTACGGTACCATTTGCACTTTGTCTCGCTCTCCCTTTTGAAAACGTATCAGAAAAGTTGTTGTTTAGGGGAGTAAACTCTTTATCCATGCATATCTTATTTTCTCAGCACTAAGAAGGACTCTGATTCTGTCCCGGATATGCATGTCAGATGCATAACTGATTAGTGACAAGTGACACAGAAACAGAAAATGCTCCGTGTTATGATGAATAATAAACTCGGGCAATTTTATGCAGGGAAGCATAAGGCAATGACTTTCTGCACTCCCCCCCTCCTCCCCATATAAATAATATGGATCTCACCAAAATAGAGAGGGCAGAGAAAGTTGTTACGACAAAGTTATTGGGTGCATTTCCAGTTCCTGTATTAGACTCATACAATCACAGAATTGAGAGGTGGAAGGGACTTACAAGGGTCATCTAGTCCAACCCACTGCAATGCTGGAATCTTTTGCTCAATGTGGTGCTTGCACCCAGAACCCTGAGATTAAGAGTCGCATGCATTAGTGATTGAGCTATCCCAGGTTTGGTTTATATAAGAATAATACTGAAAGAGTAGCAATGGCAGCACAACCAAATACAGAAAGAAGCATGCTCAGTTGACTTCAGTTAGAGCCGCACTTAGAGCCAGTGTGGTGTAGTGGTTAAGAGCGGTGGACTCGTAATCTGGTGAACTGGGTTCGCGTCTCCGCTCCTCCACATGCACCTGCTGGGTGACCTTGGGCGAGTCACACTTCTCTGAAGTCTCTCAGCCCCACTCACCTCACAGAGTGTTTGTTGTGGGGGAGGAAGGGAAAGGAGAATGTTAGCCGCTTTGAGACTCCTTCGGGTAGTGATAAAGCAGGATATCAAATCCAAACTCCTCCTCCTCTTCTTCTTCTTCTTCTTCTTCTTCTTCTTCAGTTCTTCCCAGGGAAGTATGTATACAGTCATAACCTCGGAAGTCGAACAGAATCCGTTCCGGAAGTCAGTTCCATTTCCGAAACGTTCGATTTCCAAAGTGCGGCTTCCGATTGGCTGCAGGAAGCTCCTGCAGCCAATCGGAAGCCCCGTCGAACGTTCGTCTTCCAAAAGAACATTCCAAAACTGGAACAATCACTTCCAGTTTTCGACCATTCAGGAGCCAAAACACTTGACTCCCAAGGTGTTCGGGAGCCGAGCTATGACTGTACAGTCATACCTCGAGTTGAATGCGTTTCGGGTTGAGCGCGCTCGGGTTGAGCTCCGCGGCAACCCGGAAGTAACAAAGCTCAAAATGAAGTCACGCGCATGCGTGGTAGCTGCGAAACATGACCCACGCACGCGCAGACGCGCCGTCGTGTCTTGCGTTCCGTTTGGATTGCGAATGGGGCTCCGGAACAGATCCCGTTCGCATCCCGAGGTACCACTGTACAGTGGTACCTCAGGTTACATACATTTCAGGTTACATACGCTTCAGGTTACAGCCTCCGCTAACCCAGAAATAGTACCTTGGGTTAAGAACTTTGCTTCAGGATGAGAACAGAAATTGTGCTCCGGCGGCATGGCAGCAGCAGGAGGCCCCATTAGCTAAAGTGGTGCTTCAGGTTAAGAACAGTTTCAGATTAAGTACGGACCTCCGGAACGAATTAAGTACTTTACCAGAGGTACCACTGTATAGGGCAGAGGTCGGCAACCTAAGGTCCATGGGCCTTGGTTGTTTAACCAGTCCATAGACCCCCCCCGCCGCCCACTTGGGGACACCTGCCGCCCGCTCAGTTGGCTCCCTTGTGCCATACTAAACCGGTGTGGAGCAGAGCGAGGACCGCCTTCCCCGACACTGGCTGGCTTCCCATTGGCTGCAGGAAGCTCCTGCAGCCAATGGGAAGCTGCACACACCTCCTATGTGCCAGAAGGCGCATTTGCACATGCGTTTATGCGCATGCACTCTGGTCCACCGCAGCGTCTGTGGGACCGTGAACAGGCCCAAGCCACAAAAACTTTGCCGACCCCTGGTATAGGGATTCAAGCCCAAAAGCTTATGGAAATCAACTTGATGGGGGGGCGGGGTAGATCATTGTAGTGATCATCCGTTTTAGATAAATGCACAAATAATTAAATAATAGATCAATGTGCCATATAGTAAAGAATAAGACGAATGAGCTCGAGTCTCACCCCCGGTTTGTATATCATAGTTCTCTGTGCTGACCAAGAAAATGGTTTTCTTAAAATATAGACTTTAAAAGCTTTCCTAAAGATCTATCTTGTATCCGAGGGTGGGGAAACAATCTACATGTGTCCACTTCAAAACATATTTTCCATTACTTTCATATTAAAAATTATTTACCATCTTTTCCAAATTCTATTACTAGCATGAAGAAAAATTAGATTTCTATGACTAATTAAAAACACTTGGTTGAAAATGAAATAGCGGGGGGAAAGAGCACATACAACATAGACATTTCCGTGCTGAGGCTGGGATGAGCTACTTCAAGCATACTCAAGAGTTTGGGGGTGTCTAATGGCATATCTTGAGAGTCGCATGGACTGCAAGAAGATCAAACCTATCCATTCTGAAGGAAATCAGCCCTGAGTGCTCACTGGAAGGACAGATCCCGAAGCTGAGGCTCCAATACTTTGGCCACCTCATGAGAAGAGAAGACTCCCTGGAAAAGACCCTGATGTTGGGAAAGATGGAGGGCACAAGGAGAAGGGGACGACAGAGGACGAGATGGTTGGGCAGTGTTCTTGAAGCTACCAGCATGAGTTTGACCAAAGTGAAGGAAGGCAGTGGAAGACAGGAGTGCCTGGCATGCTCTGGTCCATGGGCTCACGAAGAGTTGGACACGACTAAACAACAACAACAATTGCATATGTGAAACTATTTTTTTTTTAATTTAAAAACTGCCCTAATTCTGAAGGCAATTGGCTGATTTGGAACGCAACCTGGTAGGGTGTAATTTGAGAAATTGCCATCCTTCCACCGTCGCTGCTTGGATATTCATAACAGTCTTGCACCTGGGGCAAATGCCCCAACCTACGCCACCGTTCTAGACCACCCCTTCCTCCTTCTCAACCAAAGCACAATCTCGGTCTGTGTGTCAGTCCAATGTATTCATTCATTCATTCATTTATTCATTTCCCGCCCATCTGGCTGGGTTTCCCCAGCCACTCTGGGCATCTCCCAACAGAATATTAAAAGCACGATAAAACACCAAACATTAAAAACTTCCCTAAACAGGGCTGCCTTCAGATGTCTTCTAAAAGTCAGTTGTTTATTTCCTTGACATCTGATGGGAGGGCGTTCCACAGAGCAGGCACCACTACCGAGAAGGCCCTCTGCCTGGCTCCCTGTAACCTCACTTCTCGCAGTGAAGGAACCGCCAGAAGGCCCTCGGAGCTGGACCTCAGTGTCTGGGATGAACGTTGGGGGTGGAGACGCTCCTTCAGGTACACAGGGCCGAGGCCGTTTAGG